ATATCGATAGGTATCAAGTTAACATGGATTCTGGCTACATCACGTGTTTTTTTCTAAATTTAGAAAATTTAACAACACTTTTTCGTTATCAGCATTACATTGTATTAAAAGTTATTCTGGCCAAAATTCACCGTTTTTTTGTGCAGCATCTCTTTCTTCTTTTGTGCACTTTCTCTCTAGTCCGTAGGGAGTTAGTAAAAAGTGTTCTTCAAGCGCCAATAGATGATGGAGCCGAGAAGAGGGTGGGACGAAAATGAAAAGATAGGCCAGACAAAAATATAAGGAAACTAACTAATACGAGAAAATCTGCGCCATTTTGTAGATCCACTTGTTCATAAATTGAATTCCCTTTAAGCAGAAATTTCAGCAAAGAATTGCTCGTTTTTTTTAATTACAATTTTTTATCTGATTATTTAGAACAGATTTCATTGGAGACAAAAATCTCTATCTTCATTGTTGTACCTTTGCTATATTAATATTTTGTAATTTTCGTAAATGCAGAGAGTTTGCCAAAACGGGAACAGCACACTTTTTTATAGTATTTTCTTTACGTATGAGGAAAAACTTTATGCCAAAAGTTGGAGTCGTTTTAAAGAAAATAATTGTTTAAAAATTGCCTAAATTTCACGTAAAATTACGTGAAGTGTACTCAAACCCTCGCAAAATGAACCTGACTTTATTTGAAGATTTGTCTTTCAACAACAGATTTTATGAAGGGAAAAATCTCTATCTTCAATACTGTATTTGTAAGAAAACGCATAAAAATCTTTAACTTTTGAAATTTTCAAAATGTTTAGTGCAACGAAAGTGAGATCAGCACTATTCTTTTAAGCGTTCTTTGTTATATCCGTGGAAAAAACTGGAAAAAATGTGGAGCGGTTTTTCAGAAAATGTTTTTTTATAGTAAATTACATAAATTTCAAGCACAAATCACGCAAACATTTGCCCATGACCTTTTTTGAAGATCTTATTTTTTAGAATAGATTCTGATTAGGGAAAAAATCTCTATACTCAACTTCGTAGTTTTCAAATGCTAACATTTTGCAACTTTCGAAATTTCAGAAAATTCGTCACTCTAATTTTACCATCCTTTGATTCATTAGAAGGGAAACTATAAAGTAAAAATTTCAAGTCTTCTGGGAAAATAATTGTTTTAAATTTTTTCAAATGTCCTATACTTCACTCAAAATTAAGCATCAATATTAATATATTCGAAAAATTGTACTTGACTTTATTTCAAGATGTTCTTAAAGAGATTTCGTTATGAAAAAATCTATATCTTCAATTTTGTATTGATAGGAAGATGCCGAAAACTATTTTGAACTTTTTCAATTTTCGAAAAATCATATTTTTTGACGAAAATGAGATCTGTACTATAACTTTCAGCGTCCTTTACACTAATTAAAGACAAATTTTAATCCAAAAATTTGAGGCCGTTTTCTGAGAAAATATTGAAAATATTTTTGAGGCATCGTGTTAAATATTCCCTCAAATCAAAATATTGGTTCCAAACACAGATACTCTCTAGTTCCTTCAAATCAATCAGAAATATCAATTTTTGAAAAAATCTGCTGAACTGTTTTGGCGGTAGCGTCAGACGGACAAACGTTTTTCTGTCAATCGATTTTTCGGTATCAAAGACCCCAAAAGCATGGATTCTGACTACACAACGTGTTAGCAGACGTACTTTACGACGTAGACCTACCAAATTTGTCTACTTTTTTGATACCATGGCCCGGCAATAAGAGTTTTTTGTTGAAAATTCGCCGTTTTCCGGCGCGCGAATACAATGTTCAATGTTGCTCTTGCAAGACATAATGACATGAAATGTATGTACAATATTATTTTTAAATGGGAAATGTAAGTTTTAATTAGAGTACTAAGAGTTAACTTTATGTATATTTGTTCAAAATGTCTCATTTCTTGAAAAGGAAAAGAATTTCCCTTTCTCTATTATATCATTACAAAAATTCATTTAAAAGCGTTTGCCATAATGCCAAAGTCTAAATTAAACTGAATTGTGTTCTTTTCGCTACAAATATCTCTAGAAATTGGTATGTCTTATTACTGAAATAAGTTAGATGGGTCAACAAATTTATTTTCAAATAATTGTAATCACCTGGCTGTTTCGCTGCAGTGATGAATAATGAGATGGATTGAACTTCTCCGTTATACACTCTCCCTCTCTAATCTCATCTGTTTGATATTTTATCTTTATGGAATATCAAACTCAATAGATATGATAATATATTATAGGTTTGAGAAGTTTTGCAAAATACATTAATGTAGTACGTAGGTGAGAATGTAGTATGTAGATCGCTCCCATTGCGATCAGACCCGATTCGCATGCTCGTGAACAAAAGTGACACAACCCAAAATGTCATAGTTTTTCATTTGCGATAATAATGAAACATTACTAAGACAATCAAATTTATCTGCTCTAATGAGAATAGATATAAAACGAGGATCAAATGGTATTTTAGTTATTTCTAGCTTTAACTTTAAAGAACTGTCGTTTGATTTAGTTATGTGACTTTTAGCGTCTTGGTCAGACATATAGCCTTTGTTATTTAGAGTTCTGACACTTTTCTGGAATGAAACGTATACTTACAAGTATGTCACAAGGGTACTTGTAAGTCACTTGTGATGTTCAATTTATTCTTATTGATAATGTTTTATTTCGAATTAAGTTGCATACGCATAGAACTCTCTGCCCTACATACAACGACATGAATGTCACTTTTTTCGCTGTAAAGTTTCGCAGCCAGCCATCCGCACAAAATGGGATGCGGACCTTGTTCTGGGACCACAAGGGATCTGCAGTGGAACGTTACATGGAAAAGGGCAAGACGGTGACGAGTGCCACCTATAGTGAATTGGTTCGCGGCATTCTGAAACTAGCTGTACGCACGCTAGGTAGAACGTGTGGAGGAAAATTCTAGCGGCCGACTGCTCTGATCTGTAGTTTTCCGTAGTTTCTCCGATTAACACCAGACGAATGTTGGAGCAGTGCCCTAACAACCGGACCATGGACCGCGCGCAATCTTTCCTTCCCATTCCTTGACCTACCCTCACCCCTTACTTACACACTAACATGCACTACATGTCGGGAGCTTAGAGCTTGTTCCAGCTGGGGCGATGCCCCGCAGGTGGGATGTACCTGGTTGGAGAAAACCCGGCTAGCCGACGGTGGGGCGATGCCTGCGCCGAGAGACCACCTCCGCCTTACGAGGTAAAAATGCATTTCACTTACGGGTCTGTTAATCAATCCTCTCAACAGGCGTCCTCATCCAGCATGACAACGCGCGACCTCGCATGGCTCACCTTCACCACTATCGAGGGCTAGCGTCTGGAGGGCCTCCCCATCCTCCTTACTCTCCCAACATCGCGCCCTCCGTCTTTCACATCTCTGGCCTACTAAAGGACTCCACATCTACTTACTACCTCTATGGGACTCAGGTGACAAGTTCGCGACCGACACGGAGATGAAACAGACGGTGCATGTGTAGCCAACATATTTGTATTCCCGAGGTATACATGCCCTTCCGACTCGGTGGTGGAAATGCATAAAAAAGCAGGGGACCGACAATGAAAAATGTTCCAACTCTAAAAAAAAATTCCGATTCTAATTTGACTCACCCTTGTATTTCAGGGCTGCATCTACTTCGTTCTTGTGAGCTGAAAATCGACCGCTCATACGAGATTACAGGTGGTGAATACCTTTATGTATGATAGGAATCAACTGATTTGGTGGTTACTATTCTTTAAATTATAACAACTTCATGAATGAATCGCCATTACAGCGACAAGAAGTGACGGTTGTCAATCATTCTTTTAATTCTGAGTTTTCTTTTTTTTTCTAATTCAACATTTAATTAACAATAAATTTAATCTTATTTTACTATTTCCCCCTACCAAAGATAGCCATTGTAATTTTGTTGGAATTATTTTTCAAAACTTGTTTCATTCTTGGCCTTGGACATTGAATAATTCTTCAAAATCTTTCTGAAAATTCTTAAGTGCTACACTTTCCTGTTCGTAGACAAACTGCTCCCTTAGCGGTGCAACATTGAGAATTCCATTCCAGATCATCCACTTGTTCCATAGCCATGTTTTTGGGTCATCCTTCCACCACTTCTTGCAATATCCTACACTTATGTTTTCATTACAATATCTTTTTAATATCCGTGTTTTATTTGACTCAATTTGTTGACATAAGTCTAAACATCCCACGACTTAATATTGGTACCTACTTCAACACGTTCTGACTTTTTTTTACAGATATTTCAAAGTTTTTCATGCCCACAGCATTCATCCCACTCCGATCAAGTCATATTATGTTCCCTGTCTGTGTCTACACAACATTTAATCTATAACTGTTACTCCCACAGCTTCCTTTGTTTCTCAGTTATTTACCATTTCGGTGCTACTTTTTTTTAAAATCACTCTTGCACATTCATATTCACTTGTCGTAATAAAGGTCTTATGTACATAATTTCTAAAGTAAGAATTATTTTTCTGATATTCAAAGTATCACATTAAAATGAATTCTATTCACATATTATGTATGCTTGAGTCCCCAACGTCTGACTTTTATTTCATTCTATTTACCAATCTAAACCATGATATTTTGAAATTAAAATTAAACGTAAATGAAATATCTTGAAAGATATTCCCTCCCTATATTAAATAAAATAGAATTTATACTTCCCTTTTTTTGTGTGTGTGTCACATTGATGAAATAAATAATTGTTCAAATCCTAATTAGGATGAAAATACAGAAATTCAATAAATAATAATGTTGGAAACGTGCATGAAATAAACTCGATAATGATGAACGCCTACACTTTGTTGTATGAAGTTACGACAATAGAAATAAAACATCTGAACAATGTTTTTTACTAAGATTGATTAGAGACCTTCAGCTCTAATTGATTCCACCCTGAAATCAAAATTAAAACATAAAATAGAAAATTAAGGAAAATAAATTAAACACTCACTCTGCAAATTGTGTAACAATACACACTTCATTTAATATTTTTCAATCCAATGTTCACTTGGTGATCTAAATACATTATATAGAAATGAGGTGTTGAAATATTACAATCACAAAACATTTGAGATCAACAATAAACGTAACTGTATACAAAATTCTTTGAAATATATACTCTAGAACCATAATATTTGGTATTCGTAAACAGATAATACTGTATTTGCACCATTGAGTAATTTTTACTATTGACCCTTTTATTTTTATATTCTAAAATATATTACATTCATACATATCCAATATGCTGAGAACTTCCTTCACACTGATCAATTCCACCGTCACACACTTTACAGTGGAAAAGAAAACCAAATTTAATTATATTAACTAAGGTATTCTTCCCTTGTTCTTAAAGGAGCAAAAATTATATTTATAAATGGAAAAAAGAAAAAATTTAAAACAAAAACACAGGAACTATGAGAGATTCTTCGCTCATTCACATTTACAAAATATACTATCCTGTTGCTTCATATGTCATAGTAAAATTGTGCAAACACACAAATTTTTACAGCTACTCAAACAGAAACAATGTACCAAGACAACTATTGACTATTTTTGTAATTATTTGCTTCTTGTACAAAATACTGTATTTAGGCAGTGCTTCACAAACAGGCAAATGGGGTATTAGAAATAATCCCATGAGATTAATTAGAGCTCAGACAAAGATAGTTCTGAACAAGGCACAAAGTGCAATATATTCTCATTAATGTAACATTATGTGCCTTGCAAAAGAGATGTTTGAGAATCACTGTTTGTGGGCACAGATGCTGCTTCATTTCAGACCTGGTGTATATGTGTTTATCACGAGAAAATTGACAGAGATTAAAGACACAGCAGTATTCAATGACATTGTAGGATCACAAAATACGAAGAGATTCTACAAGGTTAGTAACATCAACCATGTTATCAACCTGGAGATTCTTCTTTCTGGCAAGAGAGTTCACTAGTTTTGCAGCTTCAGAAATAGAGGTTCTCCATTCAGCATCACCTAGCCCTTCATGTCCAGAACAGAATATTATTTCACTCACTTCCTGTTCCAGTTTAAAAGCACTCACTGATACAAAAGCCTTTTTCAAAACACCCAGCACATGTTGACGTAGGTCTGTGTTGCGGCATACGAGATTTAAAACAAAAAAGCCTGAGGAAAAAACAACATAATTTCTTGTAAGACATATAAACATTACAATTTAACATTAGTAACATAAATGCAATAAAAAAATAGCATTCAAATTTAATATAAATATGCTCATACCTGTATTCATAAACAAATACCAAGCCATCTAATGCTAACAGTGCCCAAAAACCAATCTCAAGCAAACCACATTCAAAACTAAAAGCTAGTTTTATGCTAATTAAATGCTCTATTCCCAAATATTATATCCTTTTGGATTTCCCAAAATCATGGGTGCTGTAAGCTTTAGTATAAAGCTAGCAGTGCCCACCTAGAAAATACAACTTCCCATAATTGCAAGACAATGAAAATACATAAAAAAGTAAAGGTTAATTTTAAGCTTGAAGAAAAAGAAAAAGGAAAAAAAAGTTCCATTCATATTTTCTAAAAATCAGGGCTGTACTAAGAGAAGCAATTAACATATGTTCTTGTAGGCAAATAAAAATGGAAACCCTAAAACCTCAGAAAATATTGTGATATTTAGAATATGAATACCGGAATGATCGTTTTTCTAGAGCCTAAAATTAGCCTTAAATTTTGGATATGTTTGGATGAGATTGGTTTTTGGACACTTAACTTTGGATGGCTCAAGTACCACCAAGCTACAATAATAAACATAACCAAATTTCATTTAAAAGATAACAGATTTTTTGAAAAATATTCAGTTTTTGCTAGAATATGATGTAAAATTTTATTTACATTTCTAAGAGGACTACACAAACCAAATTTTTGTTTTATAAAATTAAAACGAAACATTTTTTTAAAATAATTTTTTAATTGATAGGTTAAATGTATTTGTTGCCTTAAATAACACATACCATCATCACCAATACAGGTCTTCACAGCATGAAGAACAGTGGATTCCAAAAACTGTTCGGGAGGACAACTCATACCCAAACTGGGGTTTTTGCTGTCTACATCAAACAGGACCACATTGTATTTTGTTCCTAAAAAAATATAAATAAATAATTTATTTCACAAATTAAGAAAATAATTCTATGAAGTAAATATCTATATAAAAATAAATTTCACAGAACATTAGAATTGAATGCAAAATGAATTTATGAAAAAATCAATGTCAGAAAAGTTAAATTCTGCAAATAATGAGAACCAAGGTTCAGTAAATTATCTGAATTAAATTTTACTCACAGTAAAAACAGATATAAAACACTTGCTCAATTTTCAGTACTAAGAGTTATGTCAGACCATGTTTATGGAAAATTAAAAGTTAAAAATATTAATGAATGACAAACTAAAACAGATATAGAGGATCTCCAAAAATCACTAGTGACTGATGACAATTTAGCATACAAATGGCAACTTTCACTTTAAAGTGTACAACTTTCTTAAACACAACACAGAACTTACATATTAAATTAAAGGAAAATGTCAAAATACATTGACAAATACTCTTGAATATAACTTAAAGAAATGCACATGCTGCAGCCTTGATGGCGAAACCACCCATGCTTTGCTTTTAATATGTATGTACTAAGTCACACATATTGCTCACTACCCTCCCCACTGAAAGGTTCTTCTCATAATCCTCTGAACACCCCTTATCTCCCCCACCGTGGATTTACCCCGTGCCAGAGCGGCACAAAGTACCACTTTAAACGACTTCCTTAAGTCGTATCCTATACTAAACTTCAGCCAAGAAACTATGTAATCTGGGTGCATATCAATATTTTTCAGCACAAAACAGCTCAGTTTTACTAATGACTGTTCATTTTGCGAATCTAATTCAAGATCCAGCATTCCCAAAGAAAGATGGCAAGACTATTTTTCAGGAGAATCTTTTGATGATTTGGAGCTTGTTTGGAGATCACAAGAAAAAAGTGATTTATGTACAGCTGTTCACTTATTGTAAAACTATATAAATTGAGTTATGCCATAAACTTAATAAGACTCACTTTTATGAATCCCAAAACTTTCACTTCTTTCTAGTCTACCAAAAGTATGTTCATATTACACACCTTTTTCAGCTGCCTGTTGCATGAATTGAACACCATCTCTTATGTACACTGCCAAACGTTCGTCTTGATGGAGATCAAAGTAATTAGCAGCTACTTCAAGCATTGCAGGATCAATATCAACTGCAGTAATCTTTATCTGCAAAATAAATGTGATTTCAAAATAGTACTAGCAAGAAAAAATAACACTACTTAACATTTTTTTCTGTTACCTTCTGAAAACAATGCTGAAGAAAACTACATAATCCTCCTCCTCCTAAGCCAATTATCAGCACTTGGCATTCCCCAGTGGTCTTCGTCATGCCCAGAGACACACCAACTACCATAAAGGTGAGATATTCACTTGCTAGATATCCAACTTCTACAACTTTTCTAGGTTTTCCTTTCCGAGATTTCACTGTACAGAATAAAAATATGTGTTTAAAGTTACAACAACAACAATAATAATAATGTTTTAAAGAATAAAGTTGGAAATTTTATAAAAAAGAGAACTGAAAAAAAATTTAAGTACCACTTACAGAACAAGAAAATTTATCATTATATCATTTATTGATTATTCTGGTCAGTAAAGTGACAACAGACTGATAACAATACACAAAAAAATCCAATTAAAAATAACCACATAAGAAATAATGCCACATGAATGACACATCCATTCATATTAACCCATAGTCAAAGCTTGAAAAGAAAAGAAAATTTATTTAGACAATCATATCACAAAGATATGTACAGTAATGCAGCCAAATGAATGTCAAATCTTTTTTTCTCTACTGACTTGTGGGGGAGACCCTGTCAGACTGTAAGAAAAACAGATGGAAAGACCTCGCCTTAGGCAAATGGACCCTTTCCCTTCCTTTCCAAAGATATTCTTGTTGTGCTGTTGCAGACAGTGCATATGTGCTTGGTCTTTTATGTTCAAAATTGGGCATAATTAAAGTGTGTTTAAAAACCAAAAGAAAAATTAACAACAAAATAAATAGATAGACACACATTTTGAGAAAAGGTAAATGTTTGGTACCTCTTACAATCCTAAACAATAATTTTAACTATTATCTGTCAATGAGAAAGTAACATCCTACCTTTCCAGTATCAGAGGCTCAAAAATCGAAATTATTTTCTTAATTTATTATCACTTTTTCCTGTCATTACACTTTATACTATGTCTTCAAGAATGTAAAAATGATCTGAAAGTTCAAGCAGATTATTGGAAAAATTAAAACATTCTTCTTCTTCCATAAGCTCTACAGCCCTTTGTGGGTGTTGACTTTCTCAATTAAGTCATTCCATCTTTTCCTACCCTCCACAATCTCCATTCCTTTTTGCACAACTCTGAATTATAATAAGGGAGGATGCATTGGGGCTATTGGAATAGTGTCTAACTAGCTTGAAGATTCCTTTTAAAGAATTTTTCATTCACGCTGAATTTAATATCTTAATATTTGTTGATTAATAGTTATTTATAACGTATTTATCTAGGAATGAAGGCATCAGCTTCTCCGTCTTCCTATTGGGTGCATCACTGGTCATTTCAAATAATTTATTTTCTTTTTCAAGCATAGAATATAAGGGGGGATGGTCAACATATATTGTATATTGTTGTAAGTAGTAATAGATCTGCAGAGATTTGGTACACCCCCACAACAGCACGTCCCTTCAAAGTAAATTCTATTACCAAGCTTTAAAATACAAAACAAGGGCAAGATTCAATAAGCTAGCCTCGAGCCAGATCAATAGTAAGGACAAAAAGGCTCTTGTGAGAACAAGTTGTGGTGCCGATGGTGTAATGGTTAGCGAATCGGACTGTTATACAAAAGCCGGCACGTTCAAACCTGATCGATTTTTAACCCGTGGATTTTTAAGGGCGAAAAAATCCTTCATACTCTTTCTTTCGGAGGGGAAGTAAAGTAGGCTGTCCCATGTTAGAAGTTACTTGCATGTAAAAGATCCTCAAGCCTATATGACCCCTCTGAGCTAAATTCAAATCGCCTGTTTAATCGCCCAAGAAATATCTCCTTTCTCCGCTAGTTGGTGAAAGGAATGTAGCAAAATTTGCGTGGTCAGATGGAAGGAGTCTGATGGCCCGAGTCTCGCCACAAGATACACAAACAAGACATTAATTCAATTCAATTCAAGTTCAATCTGTCGGGCAATGGCATACATCAATCCCATATTATCTGCTATTCCTCTTAACTGTCACATACTTCACCTATCCTAGGCTCCTCATGTAAGGTAACGTGTGCATTATTTGGAAGAAGTCTGAAATAAATTGAAACTGTTTCTATATTGACTTTATCCACCTATTTAGGATAATGTGAGCATTATTCAGCCAAATCACAAATAAGTCAGATTTGGACGTTAGGCATAACATTCAATGTAACCTCTATGAATAGGCAACCCTTCATAGCAGACTATTATCTAGGCTCAGGGTGAAAACTTTTGTTTTGTCAGAACCTCTCTACAGAGGTTACTCCTCTTCAGCAGACATTTTTCCAGGCCCCTGTGGTCGTTATGTACAGAGAGGTTTCGATATACAGAACAACAATAAGTCATCATCTTCCTCTCTGCCATCACTTTTTGTTGTAATTGGGAAATAAACCTTTGAGAGTTTTTCCAGAATTGGACATAACAATTTGGTAGTGATAATTCCAAAATATAAAATTATGTTAACTTTCCATTACCTGCTAATCTAAGACCTAGAATACTTCTGAGGTACACATGTCCACAATAAAATTAAACATACTCACATATTTTTAAACGTGCTTCTGACTGCACAATCCCTTGATTGTTGAGGAAAATAAGTCTGCGAAACAGGTGACCTCCATCACCTTCCACTTCTTCAATAACAAAATCACCAGAGAGCTCACTGTGTCCTCGAAAACAAACTTCTCTCTTTCCAACATCAGAACCAACGGATAGGAATGGAATCTGTAACACACAGAAAAACAATACAATTATGTCTAATGATTACAGGCAATCCCATTAACAGATTTTTTTACCAAAGACGTAAAATGTGTTTGATTTCTTAAATTTTTCAAAATTTCTCCAAAATTCTCATATCAGTTTTATAAAGACAAGTCAGAACACAATCATTTACATTTTCTTTTAGTCAGAAAAACCCAGATAACCAGAATCCATTGGACTCAGAAGCACAATTTTCAATGTTTTACATAAAAACCTCAGAAGATATTGGGATAGTTTTTTGTAACTTTTTGTTCTCCTTGCTGTAATTTACTTCTGTCTTCAAACATTTTACAAAAGCATTACTGAATAGTAAATTTTAAAAAATTATGATTCTATTGCTCATAACTGGGCAAGCATGGGCCAGTAGACTCAGGTCTCGAAGCCTCTTCATATTCTGCATTTTGGGATTTTGCTTCAACCTTTTTTTTTAAAAAGGGCCAGATGCAGGCTGGGCCATTCATTGGAATGGTAGCTGACTATGTTCAATATCAAATTAGAAAAAGACACTTTCCAATGTACAGACATTGTTCCGCTAGGGTTCTGCGCCACCAGAAAACTTCAGAGCAGTCCATTTGTTTCACCTAAATCTTGTACATATAATACAAGAACAAAGCCTTATCTTCACAAATAAGATATTTTCCCCATTTTCCAGGAAAATTACAATAGTATCTTTGGTATTTTGTTACACCAGATCAATAACATTGCTTTCTACTACACATCATACTAGAACTACATCATCGTCACTACGGTCATAGTACTACATCAAATATTGAAACACTGGAGTTAATTTTGTACTGCAATACACCAAAATGAGTACATAATCAGCACCAACTCTTACATACTCACTGTCTAATTGACGCAGCAATCACAGACCATTTACATTTCTCGTAAAAGAGCGGAATGCATGTGGTGAAGCTGCATATGGAATTTCGAAAAACCTCAATCCTGAATGGAATGTAAAAAGACATGTGATCAGGAGATTGTTTGTTGTTGGAAGTTGTAGAGGCTTTGGTTTGTTCACAAATCGTAAGAAAACAGAATTGTAAGAAAGGTGTCATCTGCCAATCACAAATATTTTGTGGGACTGTTTTCTCATCTCAGAAAATTCCAAAAACAAATTTGTTGTATCCTCGACAAAGAAGTAGAAAGCAACCTGTTCAAAACGTGATAGTAATGAACACATTGAAATAAACACAGATCTGCCATAAAAGTAAAAATATTTTCAAAACTGAATGCAAAATATGTTAATTTTTTTTCTCTCTTTTAAACAGATGTGAGTTCTGCTACATTGTTCCCGTCCAAAAAGCATTTCCTTAAGTATAATTCCCTCATATTGGGCATCTGGAACTGCTGAATGTTCTGCTGGTGGTCATAAAAATTGCCCGGAAAATGATTCACTTTGAGGGGAAATAAAAATATTTCTCAGAATTTCCTTTTATTTTATCTTCCAGCTATGCCATATTTACTACTTTTTAAAACATTTTTAAGCAATGTTTGTTAATCACATTGAAAATAAATTTCAAATGTTAAATATAAATTATTCCATCGCCAATAATTAATTCTTACTATCCAAGAAGCAAATACTAATAACTCCAGTTTTATAAGTAAAAGAAAAAACTTGCTTTTAGGTGCACAACAAAAGTGACATCTCATTAACAGTCCCTTTTTAAATAAGTGAGAAATGCTTTTTGAAAATAGTTATTTTAACTGGAAAAAATTTCATAAAGGCAGGTCAAAAGACAAATGGACCAGAGTGAAACTCATGGCCTTTCACCCATGAAATAAAGGTCTCCACTCACATTTAAACATTATCCTGTAACCTGACAGTTTTTTTTAGAAGTAGCACATTTCTTGTGCACTGACAAAAAGTGAAACACACCTATTCAGGAAATATAACAAGGAATATTTTCATCAGAAAAGTAAATCTTTTCTCCAGTGACCCAGTTTCAGTTTGTACTAGTTACAAAATACTGCGAGTAACAAGTGAGGCATTTAGTGACTTTTGCATTTTAATATTATCTATTTGACATTCTCACAATTAAAAATATTGTGTACAAAGTGCCACGTTCTTCCGGTATAGAGGAATAGTTATTACATTTTATTTTCATTAAACCCAAACACCTCCTTCCAACATTCAAAAAAGAAACATTATTTAACAAATTATTAAAAAACCTTCATAAAATACAAACATGCAAGAGGGCATTAAATTTGCAATATTACTACTCATGGAATAAATATTCACCTATTATCATAAAATGTAATTTGATATAGATGAGAGATAAAATGCAAAAGAAAAGACTTTAATAAAATAATCAATTAATAAAAATTAAAATACATATTGTCAACAAACATACTAACTTCAGTGTTTTTAGCTATGCCACGAGGTGCAAGCTGCAAAATACTATCACCCAGTTCATCTTCTACTGCAAAAAGATCTGGATATTTATGGTCTCGATGTAGTGATACAATGGCCAACCGATCAAACCCAGCAGACTTGAGCAATGTATTTCTTCCCTCAGGGGTAGCAAATACCCACTCTGTTTCTCTACATAAAACATAATTTAAACACATACAAAGACAATCAAAATATTGTTTAATTAGTAAACACTAACAATTCTCACCATTTTATAACTTCAACTTACCTTCCTTGAGGTACAATAAAGGCAGCAAAGCGCCTACTAGACTCTTTTGCAAAAGGCTGGTCAAGCACATGGATTGTGTAACGTGGTGTATCTTCTTCTGGTCGATGGAGGTCAAGAGAAATTTCACCATGTCCAGCAACTGTACCCTGCCTTAATCGACCAACAATCATAATAGATTCTTGAAGAGATTTAACAGCATCCATCAAGTCTTGAGATGATTTCACTCTCTGCATATTTTCTCCAGTTAAACACATTTCCAATACCTACAAAAAATCCAAATACATATTTCAGTATTCCAATTATGTATAAAAATAATGCTAACTCAAATACTCTTAATTCTTTCTTCAAAATAATAATCATAAACTAACACTTATGTGGGCATTATTAATTCATATACAAATAATCTATTAACTTTCTCTGTCCTATTCATGTTTCATTTCATCAAACTAACTTATTAATGGAACATGAAAAATATAAAATATTCTCATTGCTGAAAATGAATACAAATCTACACAAAAGTAATGTTAATAGTTGCTGCTTACACTGCTTTCAGAGTATAAATTTATACACTATACTTTCAAAATATTATACACAAAATTGTATATTGACAAGAACCATAGGGAGTCAATAAAACCTATTTTGAACTTACACTTTGTTTTGTAATTATCAAAGAATATAAAACATAGAAGGATTTATCAAAGAGTATAAAAAAGGTAGTCTTTAAAACATAAGAAAAGGGTTGCTTATGGACCACTACAATAACTGTTAAAGCAATCTTATGGCGGTTCTTGTTTTATCTGAAGCTTATATTATTACCCCTCCTTGAAAACCAATTCTAACTAAATATGTACTGTATGATGATCAAAACTGCTTTTAAAATATTTTCCTGGAATTTCAAGTCAGTGCAGTGGTTGCTTCAAATAGAAGACATATTGATATTATTTCTTTTTGAAATACTTTTGCCCAAATGTAGTATTCATACCTGAGAGGAATTTGGAAGCTTCTTGAACTTGGTGCATACAACTACAAACACAGGAAAACTACCACCATCTCCATTCTGTTCTGTCTTTTGTTCTGCTTCTACACATCGGCATACACGAAACATCCATCCTACTCTTTCTGAAAACTCAAGGAGCTTTTCTAGGATGTGTTCTTGCAACAAGGAGACACATACATACCGGCCACCAATCCGAAGAACTCGATCCACTTCCTTTTGGAAAATAATGAGAGAAATAATCTTTACACTCCTTATACAGGTAAATTAGAAGAAATAGATATTTGTCACACAAAACAATAAATCAGTGTGTTCCTTGTCTATGAAGTCATAGCCTTTCACGGTATTTGTTACTATTTATGGATTAAGAGCTTATGACAGTAAAATTTATTGTGTCTGCTATTTTGAAATAATAACCATCATGGCCTAACAGTTGAGTTTTTAATTTCCTTACAGGCTCTTTCCTAAAAAGATTTCAAAATAACCATTAAATGGAGGATAATGTTTGTTAACTCTAATAGAGTTGCAAAACCCTTCCAAGACAAGTATAAGACTTACAACTAAAATATGAGTAAATAAACTTACATTTAACAATTTGTCAATTCTACTTTTAGATTCATCACTATCATCAGGCATCAGTGCATCAAGTGTTCCTTTGTCCAGAACAGCACTAAACTGCCCATCATCAAACTTCATGTCCAATGCATCCATTTGTTTGTACACCATCTCAGGTCTATCTTTACCCTGACTTTCTTGCATTTGCTTGATAACAACATGACTGATATCTATATTCGTTATTTGCCTGAAATATAAATATTTGTTTGAATACGCTAGTACAAAAAAGAAAGAAATTGTCTTAAGATGATCAGGACATGTGTTGGCTTACCTATATCCAACATCATACAAATCTGAACTTAAAGTAGAATTACCACAGCCAACTATTAAAATAACATCCTTCGATTTGATATATTTGTGTAGAAGGCCACAGAGTTCAGGATATTCTCCGTACCTGAAAGGGAGGAGAGTTGTACACAGTATACACAAGATCACTGACAGGTTATGTTATATGAATTTATCATTCTTAACACATCTGTACCACTCGAAAGCTCTGGCTCCCCGTTTCTTGAAAAAAGAATTCCAGTACTCTTTGCGACTAAAATCTTGTTTTGTTTTAGGCAGTAAATTCATAGCAAATACTGTAGCCGCAAGCACGCACACAAATTAGTACAATTCAACTGACATTTATAATGTTGGCGCTACTGGCGGCGCCCGGCAAACTGAAAAAGGCGTGGTTCTCTGCAACGAAGGAGGGAAATTCGAATGTTCTTTTCACGGGATCGCAAAAACCACTACAAATTGATTTTTATTTCTGAGCTTAATTAAATTTTCTGTTGGGATAAAATGTATATTGAGTTACAAGATTAAAGATAAACAAGGATTAGGCAACGCAGAGTATTTGTTCTCCACTGTTTGCAAAAGTTCCGTGCTGCTAATGTAACGTATGTACTTCCCACATGCCTGGGAAGAAGAATCGCAATCAATGCATCGCTCCCGGGTCTGTGGTGTTCAAGACGATTGATGACTAAGGCGCCCAACGCTATCTATAATATTTATTGAAATTTTAATAGTGATTTGATTATTTAAAAGTCGTATAAATATTATCTCCACACCAGACTTGATTTCCTTAAAAGTTGTACATTTTAGAGCAAGCTGGTCCATCTGAGTCCTAAAGGAACCCCCAAGAGCACTCTTAGTCCACATGCAAACCTGCTGTGGGTTGAGGAGGGGTTGGAGCGGGGGTGCTTATCCCATCATCTTAATACTGAACTAGGGTCAAAGAAGAAAACACGCTACCAATTATCGTTCTCTGCACTATGTCTATGTCTGATGTAAAGAAAGAGATGTTAAGTATAATTTTTCGTAATAAAGTATTGTGCTTTTGATCTGCATTGTTCACTGTTCGTTTTGTAAATCCTGAACATGGACGACACCGCCTGGGGAGCGGGAGGAGCATTACCGTGGGCATTTCCTCCCTCTGTAAATATGGTTATCCCGCCAATACTAGGTCGCCTCGTTTGTGTTAAACGGGCCCACCCCAGGGAGGTGAGGTTGGCATTTGGTTGTGAGTGGCTTTAACTTGCACATTAGAAACCATTAGACCCTAGTGCCTGGGTGCATACAACATATTAAAAGAAAAAGTCTTTATGACCTTTTTCATGTAAATCCCCCCTTTTTCAGACCTGCCAACTGAACAACAAGGTGCTTTTGTACTATACGAGTATATGTGTGCGAGCCGCCGACAATTGCCAGCCCACAGGATCCGCCCGATCCGGCTGCAGCGGTCTCAAGGACGCAACTATAACTACTTTCCACGGTCATTTTTTCAGAATCTGTTTACCTGCCTCCCCGAAAAGGCATAGCCCGACTCCACCGCATTCTGTTTCCCTCCTTAGTGTAAGGTAGAATTGGTTCGTTTCCCTTGATCTTCCTAGAATCACAATGATTGATTATAATTTATCTACTTCTATCTGTTTTCAAGAAACATTTTCATGTGCTTTTAGAACTACCAACGTCTAAACCACCCCTTAAAATGTTGTGCAAACAAAAATGAAATCATATATAACGAGCTTACCTCGTGGGTGATCTGGGCTGTCCGGGTGACGCCGCGTCGAAGGCTGAGTTGCCGACGTTTCGACCATCCTGTCGTGGTCTTCCTCACCCAGCACACCAGCCCTGAGGAAGACCACGACAGGATGGTCGAAACGTCGGCAACTCAGCCTTCGACGCGGCGTCACCCGGACAGCCCAAATCACCCACATGACTGGTCGCGGAAGCCTACGACTTCATTTCTCCTTACCTCCCTGACTTAACATTTCCGAAGATTCATTCACAATTAAGAAGATTCTGCTATGCTCACTAGCGTTCGAGGTTTTCTCTGGACTGACGCAAAAACATCTATAAGGACTGCTTTTGAATGCAAACTTAAGTAAAATTTTTAGTCCTTCCGAAACACCGAATGAACCAAACGGAATGAAGTTGGGCTACGTCTACGGCGGAATGCAGTTGGGCGATTCCCGGACAGGATTTAGAAAACGGTTAGTGAACAATGCAGATCAAGAGCACAATACTTTAGTAAGAGAAATTATACTTAACATCTCTCCCTTTACTTGTGATCTTACATCTGGTATCAGATATAGTGCAGAGAACGATAATTGGTACCATGTTTTTTCTTTGACCCTAGTTCAGTATTAAGATGGTGGGATAGCCCCTGCCCCCCCCCCCATCCACTGCAACCCCTCCTCAGCAGGTTTGCATATGGACTAAGCGTGCTCTTGGGGGTTCCTATAGGGCTCAGATGGACCAACTTGCTCATTTCAAGGAAATGAAGTCTGGTGTGGAGATAACAGTAAAAATCTTATTTCATTTTTTTTTTTTTTTGTACATTTTATTTCAATACTCAACAGTTCACTAGAGATGTATACAATTATAATAAACATTATAAAAAAGACAATAAATGTGTAATGATTACTGACGGTTATAAAATCAACAAATATTTTAACAGGTAAGAAAAAGAATCTAGGCTTTCTCAGAAAGACAGTTTTATTCAGTAAATTTAAAAGATAGTCTGCCTTTTTCCTTTTCTTGTTAAGAAAACACCTACTATACTAATCACAATGAGTGTAACAGAAAACTTGATATGAATGTTCAAACTAATTTGAACATGTCTTTTTAAAACAACAATATCACTCGTGAAACCAGAGAAATTAATTATTCTACTGGTTTGGGGATAAAAGCTATGACACTACATCTTTGATACATGCCTTATCATTCATCACTCACATTTCAGGTACATTCCAAACAACAACATTAAGTTTCTCAAAAAGTTTTTGTACATGTAGTTCTTTCTCATAGTACATACACCTTAACATTCACATTCTATAATCCACAATTCTACATCCATTTTCATCTACTCGTATTGCATCTGAAGAAGAAATGTCTTAAAAAATGTTAAATGACATTTACTATTCTTAATTTAATACATGACAAAAAATTATTAGTCATGATGAAATTAAAAAATTTACTTATCATTATCTTCATAATGCTTAATATCAAATGTGTTTACGATTGAGTAAAAGTGATACAACTTCACTTCAGGAACAGCAATGTTCACAATCAGCAGGTCAGGGGTAGAGAATAAAATTCAACACACTCATAGTATATAATGGATGAAGATCTTTGAGCCATCATTGGAGGTAATCAATGCACAGTTAAGAGACCAGAAGGAATATCTGTAGGAGAAGACACTACTGGTACAAGAGTACACAATGAAGTGCCATTACTTGTTGCTTCAGTTACGCTTGAAGTAGAAGCCGCAGATGATGAAAGAACAAGAGATGGGCGACGTAGCCAAGGTAAAGAAGATCGAACAGGTGCCAAAGGTGTTAATTCAAATGGCAATGGCACACTGCATGCACCATCAGACGGACGACGCAACTGCACAAAAGCAGACACTGGCACTGATACATCCAGGCGACAGTACCGTGGAGTTCGCAAGCATATGGCCACCTGTTAACAATAAGATATTTCGGAGGAAAAATAAGTAATAAAAAAGTTTCTTTAATTGTAACATGTTATTAAAGAAGTGAAATAAAAACCAGTTTTTGACCATATAGTACACACACTTGACAGTTTTCTTTGATTAATAATTACACCAGCCACAGATTTGTATCTCAGGTATTTTAGGTATCAGATGAGAATAACCAGAAAGCTCAAGCAGATAAGCTCTCAAATATGTCCCTTACCAACTTTTTTTTGCTACCCTAAAAATATTTGAATTTTTAATATATGGATTTTATATAATATTAATTAGAAATACTTTATAGACTTTAGTTACAATAATTTAATTGTGTTATTAATTTAATTATTGCAAATAAACATTTGAAGTATTAAGGTTTCATTAACTTTTTATTTTGACAGAAGCAACATCCCAAAATAGCCTACCTCCTTAATTTCATAATATTTGGTCCCTCTTCTTATTCCTCCTACAATCTCTGAGAACTTTCTTTACTGAAATTCCCTGTTTTTTTTTAGTACAGTATGGGCCAATGATATGTAGGCAGTAATGGTCAATCATCAGGCTGTACACCTCAGAAGAAGCTTTTTCTGAGTGGAGTGGTGAGTTTCAATTCCACACAAAAACCACAAGTGGTACTGGTCCACCCAGTGCAATTGCTCGGGGCCCCCAGGCAGGAAAGGTCCCTCAAGTCCAGTATTTTTGGTAATACTGAGTGGCCTGAAAGGCTATTTTTGAATTTATTTAGGTATGTCATTCTGTTACAATATTTGTGTGGGCTATCAATTTATTTTCTTTTTCTGAACATTTTCTCCCTTTAAGGGAACTTTTCATGCCATTTCGAAATGTTGGATAACATGTTTCAATGAAAAATTAGTTTTAATTGCAAAATTTACCACCAATTTATAGATTTTACCACCCATCAATAGACTGGTTTACTTTTGATATGATATGCCACTGTAGGCCTACAAGTTCTCTGTATCAACGTTCCTTCGGAAAAATGGCACTATAAGATAGAAAGTCATCACAAGATTATTAAAAGATAACATGTAAAGCTTCTTTACAAACAAGTTTCCCATCATCTTTCATTCAACATATATTCCTGTATTTTGAATAAATTTTCTTCTAGTTTCCAATAAAAAAAATTTATGCACTTCATGTCTATTTGATCTTGCCCATTATGTCCTAATTATTAGACATTGGATGTTTAGGACAATGCCTATTTTATACTTGCGAACTTATTTACAGGCTGATAATACATGTGCATAAATCATGACAAATTATGACAAAGTTTTATAATGCTTATTTTTGCATAAATGTCTTTTATTTTTCACATAGTACCATTTTTTAGAATTATTTTACTTTTTTGCCTTTAATGTATTATTTTTATATACAATGCTAAGATATCAGAAAATCGGCCATGCTCCAATGTGACCATTCATGCCAAAACTTTCAATTCACGTCTTTGTATTTCAAGCTACAAGAGAATTCCTAAAAGTATACTAACAGATTTTCCTCCATTTTCCTATTTCATAAATACCAGCCATATTCTGAGAACAAGGTCAATTGATAATATACCGAAGGCACCAAAATTTCAAGTGGAAATAAATAAATTCTCAGAAGGATTCAGTGTTGCTAATGTTTACTTCTAAAATAAATATGAGTCGCATCAGTAAATGTTGAGAGATCCTTCTCTACATTCAAACTGATTTTGTCTCCCAATCATTGCTAACTTGAAATTGTGATCCTTAAAAAGTTGCTGGTAATATATTGCAATGCAATCTATAGTAAAAAAAAATGTAAAAGTATTGTAAATATGTACATCTTTTTTAACATTAATATGTACATACTTTTTTTGTGCATTTAAGTTAACCAAATAATACAGAAAAAATTACAAACAATTTTTCATTTTATTGCGTATGTAACTTATGACAGTGCCTTTTTTCTCTTTTCTCCTTAACTTATGACAGTGACATTTTCAGTGACATTTTAGATATTTTTTTGGTGCCTACCTTTTTATGTCCACCAAATTCTGAATTTGATAAATGAAATTTGTAATTTTTACTTTTTGAGTATATACTTTCAATTGTGCAGTGATAAAACAGCAAGATTTATGCCAATATTAAGGCTCCAAAATTAGTAATTTAAAATTTTTACTTCCGATTCTTTTTGGAATTTACATCTACAATGCTCTCCAACATTTTCCTTCAAAATAACCACACTTACTGTGCTCAATATAATGAGATGAATAAATACTATGGAAAGTTATGAAATATTGCTTTGTTTTCATTGTGCTAGGATTGTCTTCAAAAGTGTTTTAAGAACATTTTAGCAATTTTAGCTGATAATCACTTCTTTTCTTTTAGTATTGTGGCTTCTACCTTCCTCATACAAAGCCACATTTATTATAACTCATAGATTGACTTGTTTACTCCTGTTATTTTTCCCCCATGTTGTTTTCTAATAAACCTCAATTTTTATTTTTATATGTTAATTTTATTCTTTAAAATAAATATATTTATTGCATTAAAACTTGTGACAAATGGAAGATTTGATTTTTTTCTATTGAAAATCCTCATATTCGATTTAGATTTATTTAGTCAAAAAACAGTAAAAACTGTATGTGACGTAGGGAAGAGAAGATTATCTGTGCATGTTTTCTTGAATTCCAGAATCCCTTCCCATTATTTTATCCATAAATAGTTGAAAGATGAGTAATTTTTTTCATTCAAAATGAAAACAACAAACTTTTATTAGATATGAATCACCAGAAGTTAGCTCTGTTGCATGGAAAAATAAATTCTGTTTATGTACTGAGGAGAGAGGATAATTTTTGTGTGAAATAAGAGATTCTGATGGATCAACTGTCCCTGGCCTCTTTCTTTTTTCTGGGCACCCCTGCTTAATTCCTTTCATTACATTACTAATTTTAATATTTCTATCTTCCATAAAGGCACTGAGATTGGAATTTATCAACACTCTGAATGAACAATGTTAAAACCTTGCCAACTAACAAATAAAAATTGTTTGTATGCTGATATTTCATTTAAAAACTGCTCTTTCCCTACAAAAGTAACTTAGGTTTCCTAAACATAAAACTTCTGACTACAGTCATTTTACTACAAGCATACTTTGTAACAATAAAGACCACTAAAAAAAATACAGATTATTCTGTGAGACCTCACCTGTCTGTGTACATGAGCAGGAGTGAAGTCTCCAGCAGCTTCCCAACATACATTGCCTTCCACGTCTTGTTCAAAGAACCTCACTTCAATGTCATCTACAAGAAAAAAAGGCAAACAATGTTTTATAAACAAAATAATTTTGTTTTCTCTTAGACCTTCTTATGGTTCTGGTAACTGATAACATAAAAAATAAAGTAAGCCTATTTTGTTTATGCCCTACAATTTATTTTTTCAGCAAAGCAATGTTAAATAATAATTCAATTCAGAAAATTAATTAGCTTTCTAATTTTTCTTCTCCTTATGTTCTTAACATTCTTTTGCCTTTTAGAAATTACCATTTTCTTTTTAATTCTGAAATAACATATTTCTAAAATGGTATAATTATTACCTTTTGCCACCTTTTCACAAAGGAGAATGATCTCTCGACCTCCCGCAACACTTGCACTGCAGTCACTCATCTTGCAAATCAAGAGTTCAGAAGTTGCTTCTGTAATTAAAAAGAATGCCATGAAACTTCTCTCTCTCTGATATTCTCAGTATTTTTCTTTTTTGCTTTATTTAAACATTTTTATTACTATTTAATGATCATCAAATATCTGTTACCTAATCTATAACAATTACATATCAAAAAGAAATTCTTCCTTCATTCATAGGTTATTCAGTACTTTTTTTTTTCCTCAGTTACTTTCTTTAAAATTTTACAGTAAAAATAAACATTTGTGAAAATTCAGATAAAATATTGAAAGATTTTTATATAAAATCATTCTTAAAGATCCTCTTATTTTGAAGCCATTGGTTCTAAGGATTGAACAATATTACCATTTTTTGAAACTATAAATTAAAATTAATAATATCTCAACACCTAATTTCATATTTTAAGTATTCAAATATACGAAATGCTACACTCACTTTTGTCATAGATAGGATCAGAGACAACTGGATCCAGAGGCACAGTGTACTTGCCCTTTATTTCTCCTTCAAGAAAAACCTGGAAGCATAGTCTCACTGAGTTGAGGTCAATAACAGAAGGGTTCTTCCGGTGATCAAAACCAGCTGCAACAGGCAGACAAAATCCACATATAATATTACTAATGAAAATATAATATTTTTTATATAAACTACATTATTTTATTTCAAAATAAAAGTTTTAATTTATCGAAAGCCTGACATTTTTGTGTCAAAGACTTTTAGTTGCACCAATTCTTAGTTATTGAACTAAGATTCACATTTCAAATATTTTTGCATTAGTTCATGCATAATTAATAAAGAAAGTTAACTGTTTATAATTTAAAAATTAAAACAATATCCAATAATTGTCAAGGACTCACTCTGAAAAGGATCAATCCTTAGCTTTTCTCTTTCTCGTAGTGCAATTTCCACATCACGACGCTTCACACATTGAACACCGAGATGAGGCAAGGGCAAGCGTGATCCATTAAGAGCAGCCACACATACTCCTCCATGGCAAGCTATACCACCCAATTCACCACGACCCCCAACCACTGCATGTGGATGAGGTCGGTATGGTGCATCTCGTGTTACACAGGATACAAGTGCAACAGCTCTTATATTGTCTGGCAAACCTAAGACCTACAAAACAGAAATGTTGAGTTAAATTTATGAAAAATAGACATGAAATAGACTTATGAAATATAACCCAGAATGGGGTAGAAATAACAATGTACCATTGATTAAAAGTTTTCACAATTGTCATCATGTCACAATTTACCCAATTATGACTGGCAAAGATGGGAATATAACACACAAAAATAATTGTAGTTAATAAAAAATTTCAATTTATATCTGACAAAAGCTTTAGTGTTTATATCTTTATTTGTATTTCTTTTCTGACGTACCTCAATCTCAGGGACAGTTCGAGCACCAGGAGTGCTATGCACCCCAGGAAGACTACCAGCTGAGCGTCCTTCACATGCATAACGAAACCTCAAAGCCCGAGGAGCAGGTTGCTCCACAATGCGGACAATTGGTTTGGGAGTTGATACTACCAGGGCCTCAGCTACTTCCTCTCCTTGCAACACCTCCACTAAAGTAATGGAGAAAATGAAAATTAGTTTTAATACCTCTCATATTTTGTTCCAGAAACCAAACACACAAAATACTTCTTACATTTCCTTAAAATCAGAAATTTAACTCAAGGCAATACAAAATTTATGTTATCTATAAAGCTATCGTTTTTTTTTTTTAATTTAAAAAAAGTCATTTTTACTTACAAACATCACAAATTCTTAATTCTGCCTCATCACAACCAACAAGTTGCATATCCACATCCATCATCATTCAAGAGTGATTAACAAGTTCTGCAACAATTTGAATAGACAAAAATTATAAGCTAAATAAAATTTAATAATCAGTAAATAATTTTATTAGTAGTGAAGAGTGACTAACAAATTTATACAACCAGTAATAAATAACAATTTCCTATGTAATATATACTACATTTATAGTATTTTGTCCACTGATAGTATTGTATTGTACCTAAATACTAATACTAGGATGCTACTCTAAGCTAAAACTACACTAAGACATACAGAAGAGTGTAAATAATGCTTGTGATGGGTAAGATAATAATTTAATAAATTAATAATTATTGTTTGTCCATAATTATGAATTAGTGCAGCTGTAGAACATGATTGTCACACCCACAATGAATGACAAAAAATCGTAATCTTGAGAAAAATAGTTCAATGATAAAATAAAAAATATGCAAAAAAAAAAAAAAAGATGAAAGTTAAACAGATGAAAATATTTAAAGAGAGAAAAACAATTTAGGAGAAGCAATTACAAGGAAAGAAGAGTAAGATGATGATGATAATAAAGATGAAACCGTGTTAATAGAAAAAAATACTGAAATAATAAATGATCATGAAAATATTTTAAGGATTTCAGATGCATATCACGGTTTTACATATCACGGAAATAACAAATTCTTTCTAACGAACAGGGACATAACATCAGATCGTGTTGAATCACGCGGTTGCTTAGAGCGCAATTTCAAGCTGCGGAATTCGACGGTGACAGTCGCGATCTATAGAGTATAGGACTAATATACCAATAGTAGAGTTAGAAAGACCAAATGCTACTGAAAATCTATAACACGAAACAAAGAGGCTTCGGAAAGAAAATAAACAAAAAATACAGAGGGCTTCCATATACAATTAAGCTTGTGGATAAAAACAAAACAAACAGAGTGAAACCTCTGACAAAATCAGGATCCACTGAATATTCAACATAAGTTAGCCAACAATGACATTTATTTGGAATTTATTTGATATAAAAACGGAGGAGCCTCCAGATCGAGTATTCCACCGATTTACAATCGCGCCATGCTCTGTCAACGTTTCATTTCAAAAGTCGCATCGTAAGAACACCGAAGCGCCCCCCGACAGCACGTGAGGTGCCGGTGCGTCTCGCGCAAATGCCACCGCCAGCGTGGGGCTCTCGCTCACCGGACTCCGGTTCGATTGCGCCTTCGCCTGCGCCTGCTCTGCTCTGCTCTGCGCTGCTCGTCCGTTGCACTGCCACTCGGGCGTTCGCGTTGACTGTGGCGCCGGCGCCCGCGCGTGCCCTTTTCACGCGGCGGCGCCGCCCCCTCCGCCGTGCCCGCGCCGTCCCGCCGCGCCGACGCGTCGCAACGCGCGGCGTGCTTCCACCCGCCCCGCCCGGCCCGCTCCACACCACCCCGCCCCGCTACGCGCAGCACCTCGCCTGCCCGCCCTGCCCACACCACCGCGCCATTCCATTAGGGCTCCATCCGCGGCTCCCCGCTCCGCGCCCTCCCCGCTCCACGCCACTCTCCCGCCTCGGCGCCCTCCCCGCTCGCGCTCTCCCTGCTCCGCCGCCCTTCCCGCTCCGGTCCTCCCGCTCGTGCGCCCTCCCCGCCTCCGCGTCCTCCCTGCCTCTCGCCCGTCTCCGCCCTCACCCGCTCCGCGCCGTGCAATGTTTCTGCCCTCCTTACCCTTGTGCGCTCCTCCCCGCACCCGCCTGCATGTTCTGCTTGCCCTGCCATGCCTTCTCCGTCTGAGCTCTCCCGCTCCACCAACCTCTCCCATCGGGCCCTCCCGTCCTCTCCTCCCAGCCCGCACACCTACCGTCAGCATCGCGTCCTGCGCCATTCGCTCGCTCGCTCCCCGCTTCGCCTCACCCGCTTCGACACGCCTTTTGGCTCCCCCGCAACACCGGTCATCCGCCCCGCCCCAGAACCCGGTCACACAGCCTCCGCGTCACGGGAGTCTCGCGGTCACGAGATCCCAGGGCGCGATGGGATGGGGCGCCCGCGGACTGCGCAACATCCCTCGTGAGTCATCGCTTCATCACAGGAGAAGGAGAGTTGTGAAAAGAACGCATAGCAACTTCCACGGGGTTGGCCAAGGGAGGAATGTCCTGCAAACTCAATGTTTTCAAGTCCATAATCACACTTTTTCGTAATTCGATATTACGATAATTCATGAGTGCTAATGAAGTTGAAGCATGAAATTATATGAAACAATATTAATATTTTATAAGCCATGAGAATTTCCTTATTTCATGACACAGGGTACCACCTGGACTTCCTTACATCGCATCGCGGTGCCCCTAGGTGCACACAATACATTCACAAACTTTCAAGGACGCTGGTTCGATGCCCGCAATGGCAAGTTCTCCAGTCCTCAAACACAAAGGTGGATCATTACTGAATTTTGTCCGTAATTTGTGTTTTTTTATTTTCTGTTTTTTTGTTGTTTCTTTGTTTGTTTGTTTTTTGAGCATAATTCCCCCTCAACAACAAAGCCCTCAGTAACTCCCTCAGTAACAAAAGAATTGTGTTATGTCAGCAAGGAAGTGCTCCAAGGTGACCCCCAAATGAAGGCCACTAAAGAATAAATAACCACCAGGCCAGGAAAACACCGAAGATTGAAAAATCATCCAAATCATTTCGCTAACAATATGTTACACAACTCTATAAAAACATGATTACTGCGTCAAACAGCTAGATATAGCTTACCGATTTGTGTAAAATTAATAGAAATGCTACTGTTAACATTTCCACTCACGTAAGTTCATTAAACAATTTCACTAATATTTTTGCAGAAATAAATTTAATATAAACAGAATGATCAAAAAAGTATTTTGACACGTACGGTTTTTCATGATTTTTTTTCTTCAAAACTAAGTTTCAGAGTTCAGTGATCAGAGTTCATGAATTTTACAAACCAAAGGATGCCAATTCCTTTAAATTTCTTCTTCAATAGCGAGGACAAGTGAACAAAGAAAGCAGTAGATTTGTTAGTCACTCGGGCATTTCAACATTACCCGCTGTCAGCCTATTAATGTATGACGTGTCCTCATTCCCTTTCGTGTAAACACAAAGGAGACAGTGTACTGTTTGCATTTTTATTCGTGTATCCACCGCACCCGAGTTATCAATAAACAATGGAGCACTTACGTATACAGCAACAGTTGACATGAAGACTTTTGTATAAAAATCTCGTAGTGGAAAACTCTTAACGCTAAGTTCTATAATTTTCTAAACATTAATGCTCGGACGTCAGTGTGTAATATCTAAATAGATCTTAAATACAGGAAATCTACTTTTTCTGAACTCGCCTCTTATATTCTTTGAATTAAATGTATCTGTATTGATCTCTATGTTGATTCATATCGAATTTGATGTAGTAAATTTATGTAGACGATATTAATGGATTGAAAAGTTTCAATCCATTCGTTGCTACGCATCTTTAGATATAGCTGTTTCTGAATGGTGGATATGCAACTGTACATATTTTGAAAGTTTATGTTGATTCTATGAAGAAAGTACCTGATTAATATTATTGAATAATCTTTGTAAGTAATCCGTTATTTATTATAGGCGTCTCAAAGCAGAAGTAATTTGCATAACCTGGGTGTGAATTTTGATAATGACAACACTACTTCACAAATGACTACTTGGGAATAATCATGTAACTACATTTATACTTTCAGAAAATCATCAATATTTCATTTGAGAAGATTAAAAGTCTGCAGGGATGTTACGTTTCATTGAAATCGTGTTTAAACAATTTTTAAAATACCTACCTTCTGTATCTCTACAGGGAGGAAAGGACTGATATCTTAAACCAAAACCAAAACTACTGAAGCTAAAAAAACAGTGAATTATGTGTTTCTGCAGTGATGTTTGAATCCACTGAAAAGATGTTTCAAAACGCTTCCCTCAACGGGCACAAATTCGTCGTCGTGACTGGAAGCGAATATGCAATCCGCACCGCATCTAGGTGTTGCGTGACAGGGGCAGGCAGGGAGGACATAGACGGGGCCGGATCTAGCGAGGAGAGCCGGCGACCGGCGAGAGGGGTAAGGGTTTGGGAGGGGGAGCACGTGAGGCGGAGCAGGGTAATCGAAGGGTGATGAAGATG